CCTGGTCCTCATAGTTGGGTTCTTTTTCTCTAGTTACTTCTCTAGCAGCCTGGTTGGTAAAGTGCCTTGCTAAACACTTTGGTCCCATTCAGTTTTGCCAGTTCTTCTGATGATGATCCTTTATATAGTATCATCAAAAATCTGTACTACCTCTTTATTTAGAACTTGTCAAGCGAGTGTTCTACTGCTGTATTGGTCCTGTAGCTTTTTGTAATCCAAAGATCTATTTGTATAACTCATACATCACACAAATGCCCCAAGATCTCCCAGTTCCAATGAATTGGTATGATCACAGTTACAAGATCTCAAGTTTTCTGGTCATGACAACAGTTATCAAATCTGTTTTTCAAAATTCAATTTCATCTTCAGTGAGAATTGAACTTGTACTCAACTATATATGTTAACAAAATTATTTTGGGTTTCAGGATACAAAATTAAAATTTGAAAACAAAATTGTTTTTAACCTATTTTATTTAAAAAATGAAATTTTTTGATACTTTTTTTGAAGAGACGAAATTATAAGAAACATAACTACTTAAATTAGATTTGCTCTTGCATATAAAAAATTCTAAATTGTTTTAATAGAGATGAAATAGGAGTTTTTTGAAAATCTATTTCGGTAGCATATATATACTCAACTGCTTGGGGGTACAACAACTTTACCACTTTACTAAGTCACTACACCCTTTTGACAAGGGTAATTCTGTTGATTTTCTTTATATAAAACATATATATATTTTTTTTTTGGATATTTTTTTTGTTGTTCTTTTTGATTAGTTATATGATTCTGTAGTTTTTTTAAATAAGTTTTTAGTTTTGTCTTATTTAGTATTAGTATCTTATAAAATTTATATTAGTAGTAGTTAAAAAAAAAATTTTAGTATTGTGCTGCAAAAAAAATACATGCAATCAGATGATCTGAAGACCAACACATTAGATTTTTTACAGGACAAGAAAAATTAAGATGGAGAAAATTGTTACTAGCAAAACCATATGCTCATAAAATTCAAGAAATATACAGAATAATACATATGGGACATATGAATATATATATGTTGAGTATGCGTATAGATTAACTATTCAGTATAGTATAATAAAATTTATTAGCGTATACGTTTTGCTATACTCATGTGATTTTGCGTATAATTATCACTGTACTATCAGTACTAGTATATTATACTGTAAATATCTATTATGTAGTATATGGGGAACTTTATTAAACATGCCGATATGATTCTTTTTTTTTTTTTTTTACTTACGTAAAATAATAAAAATCCTTTAATCTTACATGGATAACATTAAGAAAGAAGAAAGTTTTAGTTCAAGTTTTTACGAAGAAGTAATTGATTTAACAATCGATTCTTCTTCAAAAAGCGATTTTTCAACTATTGAATTAGATGACCTGGGAATTAATATAACAGTGAATTGCTATAATTATATACATAGCACGAACCTTTTTTGGTTAATTATTAATTTAACTGGCACGAACCCTTTTTGGTTAATTATTAATTTAACAATAGAATATAGAGGATATTTGATCAATTGAAAATACTACAGATGATGAAAGTTCTTTTGAAACACCAATAATTAATTATTTTACAGAAAAACTTGCCATAAGAGATACCTGATTTTCAGCTATTCCAATTGAATATCTAGCAACTTCCAATGAAGGAGTTGCTTATATTTTTAATATAAAACCATCCGATCCAATTGCTCCATTTAATGATGTAAATATTTTTTTTTTTTGTAATTATTTAATTGTTTAATTTTTATTCAATATTAGCTTTTTTAGATCCAATACTCAATAGAAGGTGGTGGGAGTTCCAACAAAATCAATTGCCCCTATCTTAATTGTTGTGTAAAAAAAATTGTTTGCAAATGTACTGGTGTTAAAATTTGTGAATATACTGAAAATGAACTTAGAAATTCATCACATTGTGAGGTTGATGAA